TCAGCTCTCAACAAAGGAGATTTGACACGAGTTGACAAGACAAAGCCTCCTACCTGCCCTCTGTTGTTGAGAGAGTGGGATCGGTTAAAGATACGAAAAGGAGTCATGTATAGAGTCACAAGTCCTCCTGACAAACCCCCTCGCTTTCAGCTAGTCTTGCCAGAGAAGTATAGGAAGATGGTAATGACATCTCTGCATGATGACTGTGGTCATTTAGGTCTTGACAAAATATACGACCTAATTAAAGATAGATTCTACTGGCCACGGATGAAGTCAGATGTGGAAGAATACTGCAAGTCCTGTACCCGTTGCATAAAGAGAAAGACGCTACCCAAGAAAGCTGCTCCACTGTCTCATTTGCAAAGTGATGGACCACTGGACCTTGTTTGTATGGACTTTTTGTCTATTGAACCCGATTCAAGCAATACAGAAAATGTCCTGGTTATCACTGATCACTACACACGCTACGCCCAAGCTTTTCCAACGAGAGATCAAAAAGCCTCCACGATGGCGAAGGTGTTGATAGAGAAGTACTTTGTCCATTACGGATTGCCAAAGAGGATGCACAGCAATCAAGGGAGAGATTTTGAGAGTCGGTTTGTACATGAGGTACTTGGCACCAGGGATGGAAATTAGCACCCGCCACCAGCCAAATGCGGGTGATTTTGTGTTGTGGCAGGTAAACTCGCTTCACCTACCGGCCACCGTGGCGGGTAAATAAAAATAGCATACTGTTTCACCCGGACGGCGGACACTTTTAGAGGAGGCACACCTTCAAACAAAAATGTGGCGTTACATCGCAGGCGTAGAGGTCTGCAGAGAAAACATCATGGTGCGTTCACACCAGACGAGAATAGAGCGTCTGGCGCGAGTGATTTCATTGTCAATGCAAAGACGCGTTACGCGCGTAAAAAATTCCTGCGGCGCGAATGAGGTGTAGAGCGCGCCGTGGTAGATGCGAATACGCCTCATTCGCGCGGCAAGTTCGAGCGTCTGACGCGTTCCGCGCGCATGATTTTATTGAGTGCTTTTGTGCATTCACGACGCGAATTCGCGTCTGCCGCCCGAGTTGAAAAATCTGAACTTTGGCGTCAATTCGCGCCGCGTTAACCAATCAGGAGCCTAGCTGCTGTCACGTGGTGAAGTATCTGGATGCTTCAATAAATTATTTTTGTACTAAATGCCTGATGTGGTTCTAATGCACAACAAAGCAAATATTTTATCACATAAAACTTGATTTCAATATATGAGACATATTCATTTTGTATTGAATGTTATTTATTCCATTTCATATCTAGATTATATTAAATATTATTTTAATGTAAAGGCAACATACTATAGCTCATAAATCCGTGTCTGGAGTGGAGAGTGTAGTGTGAGAGAAAAAAAAAATCACAGGACAGGTTAATTACTTTTGGAGGCTGGCTCAATTTATCATCAAAACAAAAATAAATGACAGATTAGGTGGATGAGGCCGAGGGTGAGAGAAAGAGAAAATGTCAGTATTTCATTGAGACTTGAGATTAAATAAACTGCTTAAGTATTCTTGTAGTATTAATTTTCACATGCAGTTACACATTGTCGGTTAAAAACAAGAAAGTGGCTGGTAAAAACATTGAGTGGCTGGTAGATTTTGAAATCCACCAGCCACAGTGGCCGATGGACAAAAAAGTTAATTTCCATCCCTGCTTGGCACACTTGGGATTGAGAAATCAAGGACTACGCCCTACCATCCTCAAGGAGACCCCCAGCCTGAGAGGTTTAATAGGACCTTTTTAAAAATGCTCGGGACTCTGAGCCATGCAGTAAGAGAAAATGGAGTCAGCACATTGGACACCTTGTCCATGCCTACAAGTGTACTTCAAATGAGGCCACTGGGTTTTCGCCCTATTACCTTATGTTCGGGCGTGAGGCGAGGCTCCCAGTGGATTTGTGTTTTGGGACGTCCAGTGATGGCACACGGCAGGAAACTTACCTCAAGTATGTAACTGAGATGAGGAAGAAGTTGAAAGCTGCATATGAACTTGCAGAGTCCATTGCTGCCAAGCAGAATGAAGGCAATAAACGGAGGTATGACCAGAAGATTCGGTTCTCACAGCTGTTGCCTGGAGACAGAGTCTTGATAAGGAATTTAGGGTTGCAGGAAAAGCATAAGTTAGCAGACCACTGGGCTTCAAATCCTTATGTGGTGGACAGTCAGATGCCAAACTTATCAGTGTTTTGGTTGAAACCAGAAGATGGAAGTGGACCTATCAAAATTCTCCACCGAAATCACATCCTGCCTCTTGGACAAAATGCATGCCTGGAACCGACGCCCGATGTTGACCCTGTACCTGGTATGAGAGTCCTTCGAAAGAGACGAAAGAGACTTCGTGAACTTCGCAACCATGTGTCAGAGAGAAGCAAGGTTTCACGGGAGACATAAAATTGGGTTTTATAAAGTGAATAGGTGTTTTGGTTGAAACCAGAAGATGGAAGTGGACCTATCAAAATTCTCCACCGAAATCACATCCTGCCTCTTGGACAAAATGCATGCCTGGAACCGACGCCCGATGTTGACCCTGTACCTGGTATGAGAGTCCTTCGAAAGAGACGAAAGAGACTTCGTGAACTTCGCAACCATGTGTCAGAGAGAAGCAAGGTTTCACGGGAGACATCAGAGAACAAAGACAAAAGAGAAGAAAAAACAGATGATTGTCATGGAAAAGAGTACACAGATTCTGAGGATGAGGAAAGTGAGATGTGCTATGATGACTTATCTGTCCGAGCTACCAGGACTGGAGTGGAAGAAATGTCAGAACCATTTAGCTTGGACCTGGATATTGTATGGGATGAAGTGACTGAACGACCAGAGGTGACTGAGCCAGAAGCCATCCAAGATGTTACGCGAGGAAACAGAAAAAGACTAAGGAGGGTATCAACCAGAGTTTGCTGAGATGACAAGAGAAACAGAGATACACGAGACAGGTGAAACGAGAGAAAAGACTCCAAGAAATTAAGCTGTTAATGAGGAGACTCAAATGTTACAAGATGGTACAAAGACTGAGACTCTGACCGGGAGAACTCAGAGAGTCAAAAGAGCTCCATCCATATTAACATATGACACACTAGGACATCCAAGTGTCATAGTAGCTCCTATTGTGAGATATGTCTCTTGCCTTTATAAGTGAATAGGTGCCCTGTGATCTCCTAAGTGTATGTCACTTAAGGTTATACCCACTAATATGTTGTGTTGTGTTTACATTTCAAAAGCACCAAGTCATGAGGGCATGTCTTATATGGGTGAGGGGAGAGTGTAATGACCTGATCAATATCAGTCAATTATTTTGTTTTTTTATTTAGTTGGGTTTTATAAAGTGCTTAATTCATATGCAATTTATGGTAAGGTATAAAAGTTATTGAGGTAGCTAATGCCTAGTTGTTGACAATGTAATAAGATTTATCATTTAATTACCCTTGCGCTGTTCATATGTGCCCTGGTAATTTAACAGTTAAGTTGTGTTTTTCTTCAAAATGTTTTAAGGATGGTTCATTACATAGGAAAAGCTCACTAATAAATGTGTTAATGTTAGAGATTTAGTGACTAATAAAGTATCCTGTTGAACTATGCGTAATCACGCGAGAGAAGAAAACGGGAAGAAAAAAAGTTGGGCTGAGCACGAGGGCTAGTCTGCTACTAACACGTCTGCTACCAACACGAGTTTGTGCACGTAACGTTTTAAGTTGAATTGTAATTTGTTTATCGGACACCGCGCTCTCTGTGTAGGAGTTTGTGACTGTGGGACTGTGAAATACCGCTGGAGATGTGTGGTTTTGTACTGTGGAACGAGCTTAAGCCCAATTTATACTTCTGCGTCGAACTCACGCCATAGCTACGTCATAGGCTGTGTGTAGTGCGCGTACCCTTTGGCGTACCCTGATGTGCACCTCTCCTAAAATGTAACAACGTGTCAATTCTACGTGTACCGCTGTGATTGGTCTGCTAGAACCGCTCCCCGGGTTTCACATGCTCCCTCTGCATGTGTAATTGCACGTCAACGCGCACAACGACACAGAAGTATAAATGAAAACCAACGCGTAGTTTATAGCGTAGAGGCTCCGGCGTAGGTCCGACGCAGAAGTATAACTCAGCCTTTAGACCTGTTAGCCTCTCTGGCTAAGTTAGCTCGTGGCTTTGCGGTACTGTGACACCATCGTGGGAGGGACCGCAGACACACCGCTCGCCTGCTGGACGAGAGGAGACCACGTCGGGAAGAGTTTCGTCCGGCTGACGCAGGTGTTTTCCTTGACTGGGGACTGTTTGGCTGTCGGTGCTGGACGGACGAAGCTGCTTAACCCTCGCTGTGCCGCTGCAGACGGAGTCGTCAGACAAGAGAGAGAGTTACAGACGTGGTAGGATCTGGGTCTTTCACTCCACGTAAGGAGGTATTGTTGCTTTCTTCACTCTATGAGCTCCAACATTAAGCGCGCCAACGAACTAATGCAGGCCTGCTAAAAGAACAAAACTAAAAGTGCACTCAGGTTATCACAGACCATTGACTTTATTACCCGGGTCTTTTCAGATTGTTTCTGTTTATTTTCATATTTGTTGTTCAAATGTTATGTGATTTTTTTTTTTTTGCATAATACAAAGGAGGAAACTGAGCTATTGTGTTTTGTTGTTTTAATCATCACAAGCTCATGTATCTGTGTAGACCAGTATTTTCTGTGGTAATATTCGATAGGTTTTAAAACCAAGATTATTCCTTCAGTCACTCATTGATTAGTAGAGAGAGAGAGAGAGTGAGAATCATAGTGTTCCTAGACAGGTTTATCATACAATGGGATGTCTCTTCCACCATTTTACCAAGCATTAGGGTTAAAAGGGTTTAATACTTTATATGTCGCTGTATAATGTATTTGCCTCATCACGAGCCTATGGTGAAAAGGGTTACACTCATATATGCATTCTAATGAGATTGATGATTTTGTGACGTTATTTTATTTTTCCTGTTTCTTAGGTACAGTCAAGCGGATGCATTGAAGTATGTGGGCATTGAGAGGGAAACCGACGTGTAGATATGCATCTTGAGCGTGTCCGCATTTAGCTGGTAACATTTTTGCCTACCCACAATGCTTTGCACTTCACTGAGGGTGAGATTTAAGAATTGCATTCAGAGGGAGATGTCACTATCTTATCCTATGGTTTAACTGAATTGTCTGAACAAGCGTTTTTGTTTACTTTTTTTGTGATGATGTTTGTAATGACATTGAAGAAACCAAAAGGCGTCCTCAAATTGACAAATCCACTCCTCCACATTTGCACTATATCGCCAATACCACAGGATATTGATAGATGGCATAATTTTCTCTGTCATTGAAGGAAGAATGCCAGTTCAGACAATTGTCTTGAAGTTGTTTTGTTTTGTAATATATTCAATCTCTCCATTCAAAAGGCTCTGTAATCGGCTTTTGAAATAGCTATAACCTCTATATGCTCAATATATACTAACTGAAAACTGAATGCATCACACCTAGCCATCGTTGTTGTTTCTGGTCAAAATATTCGGTAGTGCAAAACATCAAGCAATATTTCATTGTTACATTTGCACTTTTAGTCAGTCAGGTCAGTATCTTCTCTTTCTAAAATAAACTTCAGTAAACTTGTCTGCAACCTGATGTCATTTGATGTTAGCCTGTTACTGTAATATGCATTGCTCTTGCTTGCTATCTATCTATCTATCTATCTATCTATCTATCTATCTATCTATCTATCTATCTATCTATCTATCTATCTATCTATCTATCTATCTATCTATCTATCTATCTATCTATCTATCTATCTATCTATCTATCTATCTATCTATCTATCTATCTATCTTAAGCTGCTTTCTGTATTGCACAAAGCTGGCTCATGTTGTCAGATTACTATTCTAACTAACATAGCACTAAGGCAGTTAATCTTCATTTCTGCTTAAACTGTATGAGGTTAAATATTGTTAATGTTGTGTAGAAATAAACAAAACAAGTAACCATATAAACCGACAGACTGAATGTGAACTGTGAGCTAAAGGATATTGTTTAGCAGGCTTTTTTAAGAGTGAGTGTACAAAATAGGCCTAACAAGGGTTAGGGTTTTGGTTTCATTGTACCATTTTATGTCAAATAAAGAGCTAAACCAAATGACCACATTTGTTTAATATGCCCTAGATTGTAACGGCACTTCACATGTCCACTAAATGGAAAAATGGACAATATGCTGAGAAAATAATTCCTAGTGTCTTGTAAATTTAGTTGCATTTTTATCTGAACTATTTGTGCTTTATATTTATCCCAAAACATTGAAGCCCACAGAAAAGAGATGTCTGAAAAGTCGAGTGCGATTGAATTTACAGATGTGTTTAAAAGCAGGTATACATGTGGAAAATGTAGTGATGTTGTGTTTGACACGTTTAACTCAAGACATTATGTCTGCGTCTGTCTGAAATGATTCATTATAGTCCGTTTCCTTCAGACTTTTTATTAAAGTGTCATTTGGGATGTGTTGTTTCTACAGTCATGGTTATTTACAGTGAGGATGACAATCAAAACCAGAACTAAAGAATGAAGAAAACTCAAAATGAACACCTTGTCACACCTGACCACAAAGCTGAAATGAGGGATAGCATTATAATATTTTTGTCTGATCTCATGAAGCTAGTTGATCTTTTGCCTTGGGCGTTATCACAGGAATTATTTCGGCAGATGTTTCACATTCACAGGACCTACAATTACCGTGAATCAACCTCATGGGCACAGTGGTAATAAAAGATGATTGCGATCACCTCAACATAAGACTGAATCTGCAACCTTTGTGTTAGTAGCTCTAAAGTCGAAGGTAGCATGAATCCCAGAAAGGAAATAATATCAAAGCATTAATTTACCCACAGCAGATGCCATTTTCTCTATCGATCAAAAGTTCAGGGTCTTTGAGATTCTTTGTCTCTTGTTCTCACAAAGACTGCATTCATTTGGTCCAAAAACAGTAATAATGTGAAATATTACATTAAAAATAACTTTACATTTTAAAATATCTTATTTATTAATGTGATGATTACAAAGCTGAATTTTCACTCTTCAGTGTCACATGATCTGTCAGAAATCATTCTAATATGATGATTTGCTGCTCAAGAAACATTTATTATTATTATCACTGTTCAAAACTATTGTGCTGCTTCGTGATGCACTTTTTATTTTATGAATAGAAAGTTCAAAAGAACAATTTTTGAAAGATAAATCTTTTGTAACAATATAAATGTCTTTACTGTCACTTTAGATCAATTTAATGGATCCTTGAAAACAAAATCTTACTGACCCCAAACTTTTGAATGGTAATGTACTGAAAAGTAAATAATGGTATATCCTGTTTGCGCCAAATATCATAATTTCCGATTTGGTCAAACAGGAGTGCATGTATGTATGTGCATTTGGAAAAGATGAGAAAGAAAATATTTCACAGTGAATTAGTGAAATGAAAAATGTATTGCATGTAAAAAGGATCCCTAAGGAGAATGTCAAGAATTTATTGATACATTTCTCCAAATGAATCAAACAGACCTCCAGATGCTGATCACGGATGTGGTTTTCTTCAAACATCCAGTTAAATGTATGTCAATGAGGTAACATTCATTTTAGCTGCAGCTGGTTAAAGCATTGACAGAGACCTCATTTACACAAACATACATCACACAAACTAGTGCTGAATACCAGCCATTTACACCGCCCGCTGTCTTCTCATATCACATGAACATTCATTTGAAAACTACCAATCTGGTGTAATTATTTATGCTCACTTTTTAAAGAAATGTCAAGGATGAAGAGACTTTGAAAGGTGTTCATCCCTGTGCAATTTAATAGCATTTCATTCAAGACTCTTTTCAAAGTAAAAATGAATTGAATGTCTATATTCCACTGGTTTAAAGGATGATAGAAGGGAAGAAGTAAAAGAATGAGGGATACATGAAGAAAAAAGATTAACAGAAGAGACACAAGAGGAGGTTTAGAAACCTGGCAGAGGTCATGAGGTTAAAGCTGAACTCATTCAACACTCATCTATTCAAAATAGTCTCACTTGCCTGCCTTTTTATACAAATTAGAATGATAAAAAGAGAAGTACACTTTATTTATACATATACATTAACAGCATAATCTGTGGGTGAATATTTCGCAATCTCTTTGATAAAAGCTTGTATGGCTCTGTTAAAGAAACAGACTAAAGAACATGTGCCTGGCACTGGAAGCAGCGGATTCTTCTTTTTCTTATTGCATTTCGATGAAAAGTGCAGTAGTCATGCAAAATGCATAGCTTCTAAAGATAATATATATGTTCTACCTTATTTGCTCTTTTTTTGTTTTAATAGCTCATTTTACATCCTGAAAGACGATGAAAGTGGTCTAAGCTCTGGGTAAAACGCCATCAAAACAGCTAAGAAGCAGCAGCAGCAGCAGCAATAATGGTGTCCTACAGCAAATGCATGAAGGAATTTATAAAAAAAACATGACTTTATACATGGGAGGAGTCTTCCATCCACGGACTTCAGTCTGGGATGTGTGAAAGCCTCTCGAACACAATAACCAGACTTGTGCTGAACTTCTCAGTGTTTCGATCATGACCTTGTGCAAACATATCAGCTGCTTTATGACTAGTTTTGTCCAGAATCTATGGTCTCGTTTTGAACTTCCTTAAACAATCAGATTGCAATTTATGATATTAGAACATCCACCATAACATGTTAAGATTGCTGTTCCTCATATTCTAAAGATGTAATTTTAGTGTTTCTGTCACTCCATTATTGATCCAAAGCTAAAACAGGAACAGTCTGTTTACCTTTTTTTCCCCAGATCAATGTAAATTGTAGACTCCACAACTACAAGTAAACACATTCAGCCAGCAGAAGATCCACACTATAAAAGTGCAGTGTGTCCAGAACAGTTCCCAAACTTTCATCTTGTGTGCCTGATAGACCACTCAAGAAGGCTAAAGTACCCCATTACCATTTTTACTGAAGGAAAAAAAGTTGGAAGAAAAAATAAAAGTATTATAAATGCAAAACCGACCACATAAATATAAAACTTGCACGCATTACAAAATGTTTTCTTTCCTTGAAAAATAAACTGGAAAAAAAAAATATTAATTCCAATAGGTTTTTTTTTTCTTTTTCTTTTTTTCTTTTTTTCTTGGTTGGGAATCACTGGTCTTGGTCTAAAACACTTTTTTTAAAATCATGAATATGATGTAGACTGAACAGAAGTATGACATCGTGGTACACTTCTATAAAAATCTTTTGCAGTTTGCTTTGGCCCACAGGAAGAATTCTCTTGGAACAGACAGAGGACACGAGGAGGAAAACGGCTGAAACAATCTCTGATCGCCGAAACCTTATTCCAGCCTGCATTGGGTTTGTAAAATATAAAGATAGGTCATTTTGAAGGTCAGTGTCGAAATGCCTATAGAGTGGCTTGAAAAGGTGTGTGTTGCTGTAGCAGCAGTGAGAAGAACACGTAGCTCTCTATCCAATGCCATCATGATCAGTGTTACCAACTGTACAACACACCATGTTCATGTCTGACGCTTGGAAAGATGGCTAGACATCGCATGGCCTTCAGTCAAGAAGCTTTTCTTTGTAAACCTTTCAAGGATCCGATTTTACAAAAATGTCCTAATCTTTATGAATGTTATACCTCAATGTTGTTTGCAAGCAATATGGCTACTATCACAAAAACACCTTTCTGCAGTTTTTGATATGCCACAGAAACAATATTTCCCCTGACAGATTATTGTTCAGCACATTAAAGTCATTGTGCTCTAAAGAAGCTGAAGCCATTCAATGCCATTTGACTCTCCATCTCTTATAAGCGCCGCAACCGAATTTAGGCAGTAGTATAACATACTTAAATACCATTAGCTGTCTGAGCATATTCATCCATACTATATGTTAAAGTAGTTTCAGTGATGATAAAACAGATACGTGTAAAAACATAATTATCTACATCTTCAAAACTTTGTTCTCTGAAGATTTTTGTGCAGATTATCTCATTAACACAACAGCATGACTATGAAACACTTAAATCTACACTACTTTTGCCAGTACACAATAATGAGCCAAAAAGATTTCACTTAGTATATAC